GTGTGTGTGTGTGTGTGTGTGTGTGTGTGTGTGTGTGTGTGTGTGTGCAACCCCCAGATAGTTGTACATGGGTGTGCAGGGAAGGTCAGCAGATGAAGACTAGATTCTATATATCCAGTATTCAAAAGCTAAAGGATTTTTCTTTTCCTGACCACATATTTGTTCTTTGACTATTGGGGGGGGGACTCTCTTGCTCTGTATATATGAGTCCCCCCTCTGCCTCTCTGTTGCTATCTCTGTCTCTCTCTCTCTTTGTGTGTGTATGTGAGAGAGAGAGAGAGAGAGAGAGAGAGTGTGTGTGTGTGTGTGTGTGTGTGTGTGTCTGTTTCTCTCTCTCTTTTTATCAGAACAGAAGGCAAAGAAAAAGAGAACAGCAACTTAGGGGTCATGCTCTAGTGTTTGGGCAGATGGAAGGGAGCTGCTTTGCCTTGGGGCAGGGTGGCTGTAACGAAGTGGCCTGTCAGTCTGTAAATAGTGAGGGTCATCCCTTCCATGTGATGGAGGGGATCGCATTGCAGTGAAAATGGAAATGTCAATAAAATTAATCTGCCAGCTCTTTGCTGTGGTTTTTCTGCTTCTCTGGTCAAAGAAGGTTGATATTTTTGTTGTTGTTGTTGGTTTTTTTTTTTTTTTTTCGGTGAGAGAGCGAAAGAAACAGGTACCAGGAAGGCCACGAGGCAGACCCAGAAGTTCTAAGGCCAGTGCCCCAGTGGGCAGGAAGTCTGGGTGGAACACGGTTTGGGAGGAGGGAGTTGAGCTGGGGATTTGCTGGGGAGCTGCTACATTCCTCAGGCAGCTCCGGAGTGCCCAGCTCAGGCTACATTGAGCATGGAGTTTATTGTTTTAGGCTTTCTTGGACAAGGTTTTTACTTAGCGTGGGATTTATGGCATTTACTGCTAATGAATGTCTATTCTTAAATTACAAAAAAAAAAAAAAAAAAAAGAAAAGAAAAGAAAAGGAAAAAGAAAAACCATCTCAGCGCAATTCCCAGATGTCCTTCCAAGACCCCAGCTTCTTAAACACCAGCAGGGAGCATAAACTCTTCACTTCTCTGTTTTCCTCTTTCGTGTGGCTCCAGGCTAATGATGTGCAAGAAAAACACAGCCATCTATAAAGCCCCAGTGCTGTCCCCGTATTCTTCATTTATTTTGCATTTGATTATGCCACAAGTCGGATCTTGTTTCTTTCCTTTTTTTTAAAGTTATTAGTTCAAATATTAATGTAGGGATATGGCATATATTGCTACTCTTGATTGATGCCTTCCCAAAAACAGGAAGACGTGCTCGTATGAATTTTAAGAAAGTAGGGGTCCTGCAATGCCTTGCCAGAAGAGGTTTTCAGATACATAATTTAGATGCCCTCCAGGCAGGCTTTCAAGGCATTTTTGCCGGAGGGCAAGAAAAAATAACTCTGACTGTTAAAAGTAAATGATTTTTGCTAATGCACAATTAATGCCAGAGAAAAGCACAAAAGAGGAAGATGTTGATAAGAAGTTCTGATTAAGTGAGCACCCTACCTTGATGTGTGTCTTTTTGTCTGCCCCCTCATGATAATGATCAGTGGGGCAGAGAGCTAAAAAGTTTTCACGTCATGCAAATTCGGAGCTCTGGGTCACAGGAAGAATGTGCGAGTGTGTGGGTCTCAGGGGTGACAGTTCAGGCAGTGCATTATGTGCAATCAACAGTGACACAGCTACTGTCACCTATGCAGGCAGCCTAGAATATATAGACTACAGAACATTTAACTTGATTACCCGGGCAGTCTGTGCTCACTGCGGGCCCGGGGATGCATTTCTACCAAACGGGCTTCCTCATAGCGGCTTGCCCCCACACTGGGTTCCATAATTGACAAAGAGCTACTGCACTGTGTCAAGTACACAATTATAATTGAATTAATGATATGGGCGAGTGTGAGACACACAAAATTAACATTTGAAGAGGCCCGGTTTAATTTTGTCTTTTACATATTTGTGTCTCCAATTATACTTTAATGAAAGAGGATATACCCCCTTAATGGATTTCTTTCAGCAAGCTTAGCTGAGCTTGCCGCTAGCCTGGCATTGTTGGCACCTTTACTATGCTCGCTCTAATGGGTCTTCCTTCTTTCCTGTTAGGCGATGGGTTAGACAACAGTGTAGCTTCACCTGGCACAGGTGATGACGACGATCCAGACAAGGACAAAAAACGCCAGAAGAAAAGAGGCATATTCCCCAAAGTCGCGACAAATATCATGAGAGCATGGCTGTTCCAGCACCTCACAGTAAGTGAAGAGAAAAGATATTTAAAAATAACAGTGGTTTTTTTTTTCTTGTTTTTTGTTTTTGTTTTGTTTTGTTTTGTTTTGTTTTTGTCATTTTGCTAAGTTTCAGCAAGCCACGTGGTCTTGCAAAGGGCTGGTTTTGGTTTGGTTTGAGCTCTGTCCTTCTGGTTTGTTTGCTGGTTTGTTCGCTCTTTAAAGAAGGTTGACTGCTTTCCATTCCTCGGAATCTGGCGACTCATACAGCAGTCACAACTTTGTCAACCATCGCCATCCAAAGAACATCCTCTAGAAAGGAATAGGGTTTTGTCTTAAGAGGTCAGTAATGCACCTTATTCAAAATGGTCCTAGACCCCAATAACATATATGTGAATGTGTACTGTACTATTAGATATGACAATGTCAGAAAATGCAGCTTCAACCAAAGGAGAAGGCTGTGAGGAGCCTTGTTGATTCTCCTGCTTACCAAAGCTGCCTCCTCCATTTGCAAAACCAGCATCTCACTGAGTTAGCCTTAAAACACAACTTGTGTGTGTCTCTCTCTCAAACACACACACACAGAAATGCAGAAGGGCTGTAGGCACAGTAAAGCCTTTGTTTGTAAGGTTGAAATTAAGGATTCTGTTTTAGCTGTTCAAGTCCATTATCTTAAAAGCTAACCTTTTTCACTTCTGAGAAAAGATTAATATGTACAATGGCCTTAAAGTAACAATTTATATCCCTGTGTTTGCAGTCAGTTTTATGTGTTGTTATATACTGTTGATTCAAGGACTCTCATGGCAAAAGTGACAATATACATATATTTTTACAGAGGAACTACACATGCTTGCAATTTTTTTTGTTTTTGTGTTTTCAAGACTGGTTTTCTATGTGTAGCCTTGGCTGTCCTGACACTTGCTTGCTATGTAGACCAGGCTGGCCTCAAACTCCCAGAGATCTGCCTGCCTCTACCTCCCAAGTGCTGGGATTAAAGGCATGCACCTCCAAAGCCTGGTGCATACTTATATTTTGCTGTCAGTTTGGACATTTTTGGAACATTTCTGAGGGTGTGTCTTGTCCTAGCATTGTTTTCAAGCCATTCCATCTACACTGCAGCTTAACGGAGTAAGTAGCCCGCTAAAAGCTAAAGGTCTTCTTTGGTTATCTGACTTGCGTGTCGTCACGCTGAATGGCATTCGTTACTGTGTTGTGAGTCTAGGACAGGGTTCCACTCTTATTTATGATGGTGGCTGTTGGTCTGCTCTTCTCACAGGGAGACAGAGGGCAAGGGTTGGTGTGTTGGTGGGGAGGGAGAAGTGATGGGTTCACGTTTCTAAATCAGACATTTTGATGTGAAGGCCATTAGCACCAAACTGAGGTGAATCGATCCAGCCTGTGGTGTCCAGATTAGCCGGGGTTACCAACGAGGCTGCCCTGGCAGTGGTTACCCTTGCCTTGAAGCTATGGCCATTTCAGAGGTCAGGGCCCCGGCACTGACTTGGCTTAGAGGAATTAGACGGAACATGCGTCTCTGGGCTGATTACTTAACCAAAGACAAAATAATGAGTCCTAAGCAAATACTGACTAATTGAAAGGGCTGTAAATCCATTACATATTGGTCAGGGATAATCAGGAGTATTTAATCACTTTTATCTATTCAGGAGCACTGAAGCTGCAACAGCAAAGCCCTCAACCTTGCCATGTGCTTATTATTCTCATCATTATCAAAATTACTTCACAGCTGTCCTTTGCTACATCACCTCAGCTGGAGACTGGATAACCTGTAAAATGTTTTTAATTTGGAAGTCGAGTGAGTGTGAGGGGAGGGCTTCCTTGTTTTCACCTCTAGGTTTGTTGGTTTAACTAGCCGTAGATACTAGGAAAGGCGGAAGCTTCCTCAACAGGCAAGCTGCTCCATTCCGGCCAGCTCACCTGCTTGGTTTGTGCCCTCTGGCTCCCTGGCAGTTATGTCTTTCTTGGTTAGAGTTAGGCATTTCCATGGGTTGCTTTGCAACCAAGCATCAGTGTGCATGTGTTTTCAGCCTCTGCTGTGAAAACCATTTCCCAGAGTGCCCGAGTCTTAGAGAATGTGGCTACTCTGAACTCAGAAAGGGAAGCAGAACCTAGAAGACCAAGGCCAGCTGTCGGAATCACCAGCTCCACATTCTTTCCACCTGTGAAGGTGATGCTGCTCAGGTCTTAACCATCTTTAGCAGTTGCTTGGAGACCCCACAGTGTCTGCCGTCAGTACACTCAAAATCAAAGTGGTGATGGGGGTTATTTAGAAGCCAAAGTTGTCTTCCTTACCTGTCTGGAAAGCCACCAGCTCCCCCAGCCTTTCTAAATAGGGAAAGGTCTCCACTCAATCTGTGAACAAACCTCATAGGGAAGCATCAGGAGCCCTCGTTGGAATTCTTGCTTTGACTTGTCATGGAGGCGTCTCCCATAATGCACTGCAGCCACATCACCCTACAGTGCAGACACCCCACTAAATACTGTAGCCACCTGCCCATGATTCCTTGGCTATCGAGTGTCAACTGTGTTATATACCCACCATCCTTAGCTCATGAGACTGTTTGCCTAGTTAAATAAACACAAGACTCTGTGCAGTATTCTCTGTATCATTAAAAAAAAAAAAAAAAATTCAATGACTGCTTAGAAATCAGAAAGAAAGAAAGAAAGAAAGAAAGAAAGAAAGAAAGAAAGAAAGAAAGAAAGAAAGAAAGAAAGAAGGAAAGAAAGAAAGGAAAGAAAGAAAGACTCAAACAACCTGAGTCTAGGAATCAGGCACGCTTTATTTCAACTTGTTTTCCTCTGGATGGTCTGATGCCCAGTTTAGTCCATTATGTTCCCTGGATTTTTCTTTGCTTCATTTTTCAACGGAGAGAGCCATGCCACAGCCCCTATCAGTCCCTTATCTGTAGTTTTGCATTTGGGTTCAGATGCTCCGCCAAGGCCCTTAGGCAGAGCAATGCTCCCAACTCCACGGTCATCTTGTTCTTTCCTTCCTCTTTTCGCTTTTCACCACCTGCTTTTCCTTTCTCCTCTCTGTGACCTTCTTTCACGAATTGCCCTTTTTCATGGCGTCCTCCCACTGGCTTTGTTTCCTATCTTTCTCTCTCTGTTCCCCTCCAGGCCTTTTCTGCACCTCCCTTGGATCTCAGAGAAATTCTCTCTGGCTTTCACTTTGAAAATGTTTTCTCTCTCCATCTTCACCCTCACTTCACCCTCACTGCAGAGAAGAGACCCAATAACATTGATGAGGATGGTCTTGTAAAACTTTTACTTTCTAATCTTTAATGAGCCGAAAGATTTACTCAGCTGTAATTCTGAGCTCAGAAACCAAGAATAGAGCCCCTAACTAGCGACATGTTAATTTAGACCTCTTTTCTTACATGCACTAACAGGCATGAGGGACTCTCTGGAAATAGGGATGCCCCAGTATATTTCTCTGCCATTTAATGAATTTCAACATTCAAAATGAAATGTTGGCTGGAACTCACTGAAAATAGATGTGGTCTAAATTATTATTTCATGTAAATTTCTTTGCACGTGTGGGATTCAATGCACATTCTTCCATTATCAGTCTCTTTAACATTATTTCAAACCAGTCTGTCTCCTTTTGTGCAGTGTGACCTGTTCTTGTAGTACAATAATCCCCGATGTACCCTTTTTTCTTTCTTTCTTAAAAAAGAAGCTAATTGAATTATCTCATTATTTTAATTTGTTAAGCAAATGTATTTTGCATCTCAGGATGTGTTCTTATAGAAGGGGGCTGCAAAGGCTTTGCCCCCTGAATGGGCCATTGGCCCATTTTGACACTCATGCATTCATTAACTATCAGAACATAAAAGAACTCTGGGTGTATTTTTTTTTCCAAACACCCAACCAGCATGAAGCAACTTTTCCCAATAAGCCACAGGGGTCTCTCTACATATGTTCTCAACTGCAAGCTATTGTCACCTATTCTGAATACCTCAAAAGGCCGAGAGGAGGGAAAAAACCCAACTCAACAAAGGCCAACTGTAGCAATTGTGAAGTCTTAGTCTCAATATGACAAAAATCATTAACCTTCCATTTTCTAGGAAGAACAAATTCCAGTACAATTGTAACAGTTGAAACAGTCTCTCATATTACTATGAACCAAGGTTAGGGGATGTGATAATCAATTTTCTGATAATTGGTCACTTTGGAGAAAATATTTAAACTAGAACCAAAGTGAAATTTTGAAAAATTGAGCTGTTTGACGAATGTTTCCACACTTTGAATTTGTTTAATCTAATGTTAAAGGATTACTCTCTAGTTTCTAGCTACCAGTTTCCACGGTGTCCTCTAAAACATACAAAGCTTTAAAAAAATAAATAAATCCATTTCTTCTTAGAAATTCAGTTAGCAAAACTGGTGAACTCCCATTATCCTCTTCTACTTGTGTCTAGCCCTGCCTGGTTTGTTCACCCTGAGAAACCTAGAGGAAAGGGAAGAAAGAATCTGTTGAAAATACAGTTGTATTTACCAGGAAGTAAACAAGGAACCAAACAAATGAACAAGCAAACAGCAATAGGGCCATCCCATAAAAGTATGTTCTCCTTATTAACGCTTGAAGATTATAAAATTATAAAAGCAAGCCTGCCATTACAACTTTTTATTCTACTTCAAAGATACTTTAAACAGAAATAGTAAGAAATGATCTCCACGCTGACAGTTTATAACCACGGAAAGGATCATTTGAATCTAGTTGGATGCAAGAGGCCTTGACCAGTATTGGATGGACCTCGTCATGTCATCTGATACTTCTATATCCCTTCCTGGCACTGTGTGAGATAAGGATATTGGAGTTTGACATACAAAGCCCAGTAGGAGAGAACGTCTTACCCCACCTTTTAAAAGCTGTGTCTACATTTAATTCTCTTTCACGGATGCTGGCTGACAGGAAGCATCAGAGGAAATGAGCACTAGTGCCAACTTGGAGTCATTAGACCTTGGTCGTGCTAGGCCTGGTAGCATGCTCCTGCAATCCAACACTT